TGGTTTGCTGCTGGCTGCCTAAGTGTCATGCCATCCACCATCCCCTCCTCCTCTTCATGAAAAATTCACGCTTATACATGGTCAGATACATGTAATCTGAACTACATCAAGCAAAAACGTACAAATGTAATGATCCCCGGTTTGCAAAAATGTACAATGTCAACATTTTATTCAGGTGACTGGGCTGCTGTATTTAAAACGACAGGATTGTCAAACTTGTCAAACTGCCTATTAAATGACTCATCTACCTCCATATTACTGTTGATTATCAGTATATTTTTAATATTTTACAAGAGCAATTATGTGAGGAGGTTTTGGTTCACATTGTAGGTGTTTCCACTCTGCCTTGCCTTTTTCAGTAGGTGGATCCCTGCATTTTCCAAAATGCCAGTCTGCATCACACTGTGGTCTGCTGGGTCTTTTTCTAAGATGGATTTTTCAGTGTGTGATTGCTGAGCATCAGTGATGAGTCTGTGAAGCCTATAAAACACTTGACAGTCTGACACATATACTGGTAGTGATTTATGGGATAAAGCTGGTTATATTTCATATTCTTTTACTTTCAATCAACCCCATTAAAAAGACCAAAGCAGACAATGAACTGATCCCACTAACAAGTATGTTTTGCATGGCGAAATCCTCCATATCTACATTTCTCTGAAAAAAAAAAGCATCCAGAGCCACACTGTTTCACTGGGTCACATGTTTCTTGATTCCTGTAGTTTATTTCGACTCAGTCCAAAATTTAAACCGTCCCGCTGCTGTAAATACTTACTAAAGCAACAAATTTGAATCACTGCTGAAAATAGCCCTCAGCAAATGAACTATTTGCTCCTGTTTGTGATATATTTGCTCAAAACGACAGTGTCCAGCTGGTTACGGATATTACTGAAATTTGTTTGTTTTTTTGTTACAAATGAAACTACGTATTTGTGAGACCCTTTAAATATTTATGTCTTCAGTAGGAACACCAGCTGTACTTAATACTACTCCAAAGATCTTTAATTGGGATTTTTTTGCATGGGCATCCATGGACTGCTGAGGAAAAATCTTTATTTTGTATTTATATGTTGACTTTTATTTTTCAAAACAGGTAGTGTAGTGTAATGTTCAGTGACACTCCTCATTTCCTCTTTACATTTAAAAGAAAAGGGCCTGTTAATATATGGTGATCTATTGTCTAAATAACACAAATATGTGAATGTGGGTTGGGCAGCTGTATGTTCATGACACAAATACCATATTGTAACAGGTATTACTATTGATATTCTATAGTTCATTGTAGCTGTGCTGAAACTGGGTATATTTGGCCACTGTCCACTGGATTTAGGTAATATATCTGACTAATAGTTTCAGCATTTTATCTACAATTTATCACTGTAGGATACACAGCTGAGAGCTGAAACACCCTATCACAAGAGAGCTGATATCTCAATGCTACAGTGGCTCCCTGACAAGGGTTAACATCATCTTCTCTGACAAATTCAATATTGTGTGACCTAATTTTTTTCTATGGATATTAAACCAAATGGATGAATTTTTCTTAATAGCTGCAGTAACTGAGGAAATTAAGTGTGGAGCTCTGAATGTAATACCCTCTCGCTTGGCATATCTAATTATACAAATACTGTTCATTTGCAGGGTCTAGGCCTGTAGTTTGCAGACTCTGGTGAAAGTCACAGCGTGACCACTTCCTAAAGGCAGTTTTTTTCCAGTCTGCTCAGGACATTTTGAGGTTCTAATTTCAGTGTTGGGGAAATAAATTGCCACAAATTTATGCTTTCTATTTTATCATCAGGACAAAAAAGACCTCTCCTCGCCCGAAGGGAAACAAGACAAGGACGATCAGTGTCAGAAAAACTGATGCAACCTAAATAAAGCTCGAAAAATGACTCCTTCCTCAAAGTAAGATTAAGGGTAGAAATCTAGTGTCTTTAAAAGCATTACCAGAAATGTCAATCCACAGTGGGGAGTTTGCTCACTCAAACATCAATTCTTTCTTTTAAACCTGGTTTCAGATTTGTTTTATTCATAACTGAGGGCTCTGACTCCAAACAGTGGACCTACTGACCTAGATGAATATCGCCAGAGTGAGATGTGTGTGTGTGTGTGTGTGTGTGTGTGTGTGTGTGTGCGTGTGTGTTGTTTTGTACTTTCAACAGAAGCCGAGTGTTTCGAAACGGTGAACTCTGTGTACTACAGCTCTGAGGATACATTAAAAATGGACAAAATAAGAGAAGGGCCACGCAAGGTTCAATAGAGAAGCAGGATGGAGTTAAACAATAGCTTTATGTAACATCAGAGCAATAGAATAGGTGATAAAAATATTTTATCACCACATCTCCTTAAGAGTGGATAATGTATATTCTCTAGTGTGTTTTAATTAAAACCATATAAAAACAAATATTAGGATTGTAATTAACAGCCATATACTAGACTGCATCACATTATTTGAATTTTAAAGGTGCCATATTATGCCCACTTTGAGGTTCATACTTGAATTTGTGGTTTCTACTTGAACATGTTGACAAGCTTTAATGTTTAAAAAACACTCTATCTGTCTCATACTGCCTGCATGAATATACATGTATTCACCCTCTGTCTGAAACGCTCCATTTTAGCACCTGTCTCTTCAAGCACCCCTCCCGGAAAAGCACAGCTGGCTCTGATTGGTCAGTTTTTCTGAGTCATCCACATCTGCACTCTCAGCACCTCTGCACCGTCATTGCAGCGAGAGAATGACTGTAACAACACTGAAAGAGCACTTTCTATCTTTACAAATTATAGCTGTGACATCACAACTTCATGGAAGGCCTGGCAGCTTGTTTAAAGGCACAGTCCTCATAATAAGACATGGAAATCTAACTACACTAAAATATAAACATTTAAAGCTGCATCCGTTTTTTGCTGGTTTATTTGTTTTTGGCCACTCTACGAAAAGGTAAAAATCACACGTTTGACAAATGCGTGCCTTGTAAAGTTTAAATAGTGCTTATTTACACATCCAGCAGACAAGGAGCAACATCAGCAATCATTTGGAACTGTGTTTCTGTGACTTGACCACCAACGTAAGTCTAAGTCTCCTTTTAGCTTTGCTTCGGTCTCCACCAACTTCTGACAAATGTATCTAGTAGTTATTTGAAGTCAAGTCAAATCACAATTTTTCTGCATGTCAAATCAACACCCTCTGGGACCCAATCCCCTAAGGGAGTTAATAAGGGGAAATTTTGTATAAAGTTAACAGTTAAACTGACAATTTTAGTCCGTTTTAAAACAAAAAGTTCGGATCAGGAGCTCCCAAAGTTTTGATGCCATTTTAGAAAGCCAGCATATGATTGAGTGCTGCACAGGAAAAGTGCACACACTGTAACATTTGTAATTATCATTTTAATGACATACTATACTATGACTTTTTTATGATCGTTTTTTTAATGACATTTTTATGACATACTGACACAAAACCTATAACAATCATCAGTGATATAGCCTAATTAACACCTATATTACATCCTATTTTTACATATTTCAATGCATTTGAAAGTAATAAAATAAGGAGACAGTAGCATGTTTGAAAGTGGTTGTACCCACGCACAGCAGTAGAGCAAAAGCATCTGCTGGGGTATGGCACTGCCACTTGCAGAATCCACAAGCAGAGCTGCAGTACAGCGCAATACTAGAATAATAATGGCAATTTGTTAAGTTTATTTATGATTATGATCCCATTTGCAAATGATTGTTTTGTATGGTGGTGTATGGTTGCCTTTATAGCATAGCAGTTTTTTTCTTTACATTTTTTACCAATATTTTTTGGGAGTGGAGGGCGTTTTGAGCATATTTGCCTATATATTATGATTACTGCCTAGTTACAATTTGTGCAGCATATGACAGTCTCTATCCTTTGATCCTCGATTAAGATAAGAAATAACTTCCACCAAAACCCCTTTAATGGAGAAAAAAATGGAAGAAAAAAGGAAGAGCAACAGAAGAGGGATGGAGGAGGGATCACTGTGTTCACTCGCTAGTCACTAATGTTGTTTGTCTGGTGTTTGGTGCTGGGCATGTGGCCTAAAGTCCGTTTACCGGAGCTTTTTTGGAGCTGCCTTCTGCTGCACAAAGAACCTAAAAGAGAAAACTTCTTCCACAACACACGTGAATGCCGAAATGCTTTAAGTTGCGGGTGAAATAATGCAAGTGATGGTTTCGACTTTACCCTGAGATAGCTCAGGTTGCACGACAAGTATAATGATACCCCCCTCCGCTGCTGTGCCTGGACCATGTTTTCAGTGCAGACACATTATAGGAAATGTAAGCATTTAACAGAATGTCACTCACAAGGTTATTGCCTCTCTCCCCTGCTTGCTGTGCATCTACATGGTGCTGACCAAGCTCCGAAACACAATCTACCACAAAAAACACCGCCAGATGCCATTTTCAGGCAGGCTCCCTGCACCGCCAGGGAATAGCCGGGGAAATATCAAAGGATCTGTGTTGCAAATGAGTCGCTGGAATCTCCTTTTCTCTCCTAATGATTTCTTTAGCAGTTCACCATATTATAAATCATCAGCCTTAGCCGCGCTGTGGCTTAAATCTTATCATTAATAAAGTTAACCTCACTCATATCTGAGGTGTCGGCATATTCATCAACCACAGTGGCGGCTCCCTGACTCTAACTCTACATCATAGCCTAGGCTGAGATAGATAAGCTTTTTTTCAATTAGAAATGGATGCTCAATTAAGCAGTTGCTCTTTGAAGCCTTTCTTTTCGCTGGATGGCTCGTAATCGCTCTCGAGCATTTATTTCCAGAAAACGTTGTTCTTTAACAAATCAATAGCAATCAACGCTATCGGTACCTTCTTTGATTTCCACGGAAGCAGCGATGAAGATTCACAAGCAATTAAGCAGCAATGGATTTTCACCATGTGATGTGCACGCAGAGCCAAAGCAGGTGGACAGTTGAGCCGGGGCTCGTGGGGACTGTAACTTTGATGTGGTAATTTACCTGTACTGCGGAGGAGGGTTCCCCTCTGCCTCGCACGTGATGGTAGCCTGCTGGTCTGGGGAGTTGATCGGTAAAATGAGGTCACTTGGCTCCGTCCTCCATCTTGGCCCTTGAAATATGACATCCTCTGTATAGGCTGGGGAAAGGGGAGAAAGTCTATAGTAGTACAAGCCAGAGAAATTGTCTCTTTGACCTTAAGAGAAAATACTGGAAGAATACAGCAAAAGCAGAGACACTTTAAGGACAAATAGTTAATCTTGCTGGAATACAGCAACTTTCTGACACTCAGTGTATATAACTTTTTCAATATACTGTATATATATCTCTGAAAAGTATTACTCCTTCCAAAGAAAAGCAAAAAAATGCATTAGGACAATCCCCAAGATGTATACCCTTTGCTTATCTTGCATTAAGAAAAGCAAATCCCACTTACCCTTGTTAGGCATTAACTGCTAATGCTGACATATTTGGTTTCTGTTTCTTAGATGAACCTGACACTGGAATAGTGAAGAAAACACTAACCATGGCACTTATGTGTATAAATCCAATTTTGCATGCACACACATTTTCCACAGCACCAGGCCTCATTGTGTCACTTTATCATCCAGATAACTCATCATATTGTTTCTACTGTCCAATATAATTAATCTCCCTGCTGCAAAACTCCCATTTACAAACACAAGTAAAACACTACAAGCATGTCATATAATGCTTTGATTACTGTGTAAATGCTTATCTGGGGTTCAACAGTTTATAGCAGTTGCACATAGCTCACATACTCTGAGTGATGCAACTAAACTGAGGTGTCCAGTGTTCATTAATTGCCGGAAACAATATCATAATGATAGCTAATAATAGGTGAGGGCTTGAGTTGAGCACTAAAGTCCACAATAGTCAACTACTGATGAAGAAAGCCACATCTATCCACAGTAATTAATGATTCCCTGTAAGTGTCAGGGTCGATAAATAAAGCAGAGCAATCTATTTTCAGAACGTCTATGTCATACTACGCATGCACCGGTTAATTGAGGCCATAAGGATGCACTCATCTGCCAGCAGCTTAAAAGGAAAGATGTGGAACACAATCTGGTACTAAATGAAAGCGGAGTCAACAGACGGCCAGAGTAGGCCTAATTAATATCCTACTGCTAACAGATTGCAGCATGTGGCTAGCAGTTCTACACGTGGTTTTAACCGGTGATAATATGTCGAGGATTCAACACATATTTCACAGCGTGATAGATTGAGCAGTGCCAGACCTAGCACATTCAGCGCCCTGGGCAAGCCCCCCCTCTCCAAATTTCCAAATTCCACCTCCTTGTTCTTTTTTACTGCGCATGGCTTTTGTATTTTCATATTCTTAATTTGGCAACCCCCCCCCTCTGGCCCCCTAGGCGGCTGCCTGTGTGGCTAACAGGAAGATCCGCAACTGAGATTAAGAAATAACATATGATGCTGAATCACTGCAACTCTTGGTGGTTGCTCAGAAATATGGAGATGTTGGAATTAGCTTCAAACCAGCTACAACAAAATCTGGAATAAATCTATTCATAAATGATCAAAAACCAGCATTACAATAAATTCATTCACCTCACAGTTTGATTTAACAAGCTGAATTTGAATAAATTGCCATGCAGGGTTATATCTAAGGTGTATTTTGTGAGGTCCCAGAATATAGAGGCAGACAAAATGTCACTTCAGATGTCATAATGATTGTTAACAGCTGTAGTGATTTTCAAGTGTTTCCATCACAACACCAAATGAGAAGTAGCACCTATAGGCAGCAACTGAGGTGCTGTTAAAAACACTTGTCCGCCAGGAAGGTGAGACTGCTTGGATCCAGCTCCCTTGAGTACCGGGGCGTGAATTACCCATGAGCCAATTTGAATAACATTCATTGGGATTTACAATGTCATCTGAACAAGGGTTGACATTCTGGTAGAGTGTCTGTGCTTCTCCTGCTCAAATCCCAGGCGGCCACACAAGGGCAGAACGAGGCACGGTGGCAAGTAGATTGCGCTAAAATGCAGTGCTGGATTCATTGCATGGATCCTGATAATGATCTGGACAGGCCATAAACAGGAATGGGATCGGACTCCCAGCCGCGCCTGACAGTGTACTGTAAATGTGCAGCAGGACACCGCTCGAGGGAGCAGTGAAGGACATCATGCTGGATCGCTGTACATGCACTGCCTGCAACTTAATCAGCGTAACCTTTTTGGTCGAGAAGAAGAGATTTTTTTTCAGGGGTTATTTACAACTGTTCTGATTCTGTCTCGTCCTCACTAATGGATGGAAGTCCATATTTTATACAAACACTGCTCACTAAGAATGAAATGTTCTTTCTAACCTCTAACCTTACAGAAATGCATTTAGTCTGTGAGTAACACTATAAAAAGCCAAACAGTAACATCATCCTGCAATGAATATGCATTAGGAAACAAATTCATTAGAAGAGATGCTGTCATGACATAAACAAGTGCAGTGAGACTCAAGTATAATGTGTTAAAATATCTTACCTGCAAGGCATCCAGTGATTGATAGCAGAACAATTTGTTTCCATGGTAACATCATCTTTAGTTCCCGAGGGCTAATAAGACTCTCATCCAATTGCTTGTGAATGGAATGCTCTCCCTTGAATACAAGAATTTTAATCTGAAGGGAAAGTAATTATGGATGTGATTAAAATATGACATTTTGATCCAAATACGACAAGCATTCATCAGCAAAAAAACATGATTATAGCACTGCTAAGTTACATAATTGGTTCCTATTATTTTGGAGACACTGTAAGTGAAGAGAAAGTGAATCTTGAGGAAGTGAGAAGTGACGGGGGAGGTGGGGGGTGGGGGTTGGGTATGGGGCGGCAGCAGACAGAAAAAAAAAAACTGAGAATACAACCCGGCGGTGCGATTTTCAGGTGGCACAGAAGCAGATACAGCTGCTAAATGAGTGTGTTTTCATCCCGCCTAACAAGCTTAATTCTGCAGCTTTAAAGAGACGTGAGGAAGGAAATGATTGACCTCAAAAGATGCTTCTCTCTCTCTATTTGACTATTAATAGGAGCTGGCAGACTGTGTACCAGCAATTCACAAAATGCCACTTCATACTCTAACAAAGGGTTTGGTGGCCGACTGAATGTAAGCAAACTGACTGTTTTCATTTTTATGTGCACGCATCACTCCCTTAGATCAACATGAAATACAAAAGGGACACATTCTTGTCATTGTCAGCTATTAGCGTCGACTGACATAATGATATATACGGTCAACCTACCTCTTCTACCAAGGTGCTGTATTTATCCCTTTAAAGGGGCACTCCAACAATGTTACACATCAACCTCTGTTTACTGCTCAGCCAACACGCTCTTATGCTGACACTGTGTCATGCCCTTTGGCCTGTGATACTCTGGCATCTTTATGAGACGCATCCTTATGTGATGCACAGTTGTCTCTTAGGTTCTCAAATGGTCACAGTTAGGTTTGGAAATTGTTAGGTTTGGAAAACTTACATGTACATGGTTTCACACAAGACACAAACAGCAGTCTCCTGGCTGAAAGTCCTGTTTTGTTTGCTCCATCCACCATGCCTCCCGCCCTTCATGGACTCTCTTGCTGTTACCTCAGTTGCTCTCAGCAAAGGGGATGGGTTTAGTTTTAACATGGGGTGGACATATACAATATAGGGGGTTTGGGGGTCCTCCACCAGAACATTTTTAACATGAAACACTTCATTTCTCACATTCAGGTGACTTTTTATGCGCCATCGGTGCCTTTTCTGTACTAATTTATGGAGTAAATGCCTTTAACCTGTCAAAATATAAGTCCGCTGCTACTTTCATGATTTACACCAATGCCCTGAGAGTCAAATATTGTCGACAGTGGGTTTACATAGGAGCTGGGTGAAAGCCTGGTGCATCAAATAAACATGGCAAAGGATGCCTTCATCGTCTCCATCACATGCCGAGGGGTGTGACAAAGGGTCAGTATTTGATGATCTGGGAATGAGAGCAGTATGACTCCTGAAAACAGTTTCATGTTGCCTGTCTGAGACAATAACTCTAACTGTGTCAGTAGCATTATTGTCACCGGGAGAATAAAGTATTAGGCTGTAACCCTTTCCTGTAATGCATTACAGCACTCTGACTACTCTTTAAAATTCAGTAATTCCAACGCAGTTACTGCTCTCAGTAATGCTGATATTTTGACAGTTTGGGGGTGGACTTGTTTGCTGTTCAACCCGGAGCATTTTAAATTCAACACTACAGACGGGAAAATCGTGGATAAAGGTGAGGCCTTGGGTGATTGTGCGGAGTGCATCTGTCTTACATCAATGTTAGCTTGTCACTCGAGTAAGACAGCAGCGGCAAAGCAAATAAATTCTAAAAATATGCTATTAGGCTATTTTGGTTGTGTCCAAATTAATTAAACAAATTATGTGTTTGTTCTATTTTATTCATGATTTTTTTTCATCCCTGTAGGACCAAACTGCTAAATATAGCCTATCTGTGGATGTGGTGACTTTGGAAGGCATGGCATTGTTGAGGGAGCTGAGGTGGGTGATATGGGCAAAGTCTTTTTTCACACTGTATGTAATTTTGTATCATTGTAACAATATACATTGCAATACAGTAAATGTCCTGTGAATTTAATTAAGGAATGTCTTTATATAATCACATCGTGGTTCATCACATTTGATCATTTTTGTCTTTTATTTGGCATTTTCATACAAACAAAAAAACAACGGCCTCACAATGTCACCTTCCTACCTTGCCAGGCAGCTGGATTCATGAGATCACAAGATAACAAGAATCATGAGATCACGTGAGAGTCCAGCCCTGATTTGCTACATAGCCTGCTCCCAACTCAATCGCCAGAAACAAAAAGTGTTCATTGGGCGGTTCCACAAACCATGGATGCGTTACATTTGTACATTATTATGTAAACTTTACATTTTAACAACACCGTGGTTAATGTCTAGTTAGGTTTAGGCACAAAAACCACTTGGTTATGGTTAGGAAAAGATCATGTTTTGGCTTCAAATACCAGGTTTACGGTGAACAATCCTCATTGGAAAAACAGTGATGTCTTGGTAAAAAAACCTGCTTTTTGTAGCACAGTCCTCGCTGGAAAACAGTGATGGGTCGCTACAAAACACCCATATTTGGTGCCTAAAAAACCGCTGGAACCACAACAATGACTCATGAAACCACATGGTTTTATTGTTGGTCTCGAACCGTGGTCTGCAGCTTGGCAGACATCTCGTCCAGGTGTCACATCATACACCATCCCCTCCAACTCCCAATGATGAAGTGAGCTCTTATACTACATCATTTTAGAACTTTTGTGGGCTATGAATGAAGTGTGCAAATTTAACGTATTCATGGTTTGCAGACGCATACAATGCCAATATTTTCTTCTGACGACTGAGCAGCCTGCTTCGAATAGCTCCACGGTAGAAACGGGATTGCCACATCTCAACAGACACATTTCTACGTTTGCACAATATATACTGTCATGTTGCCCAACCCTCTGAACAAATAACTAGGCTAGTTACTTTTGCTATTGAATAATTGGTAAAGCAATGAAAGTACTTTTAGTTACATGCTGCAGGGTGTCTACAGGTATCAGACACACAGATTTAATGCATTTAAAGACCTTTAAGATTTAAATTTTTAATCAAGTTTTTTTCACATATAATAATTTTTCACATATTGCAAGTATTAAGATCAGTAGTACACATGTAGTCCTATGCAGAGGTAGGTTTTATGTAGGAATATGGTTATTAGAGTGAGTTAGGTTAACCTACATTTTGACAACAGGTGAGTGCAAGTATAAAGTAAAAAGACAGTTTAAGGTTCAGTGGTAGGTTTAAAAAATTGTAAGATCAGAAATGTGGACTTTCATGCAGGAGAGCTGACTTTTAAGGCCTATTCTGATGCACTAATTTTGAAAAAAATCTGACTCTTCTAAATTACCCAACATTTCCTAAAAATGATACTTGATTTAATATCTGTGGTTGTATAAGGCCAGAAATGACAATGTTGCAAATAAATGAGTAGGACTCCTTCATAATACTATTAGAATTTTACATCAATATGATGGTGTGCCTTGTTTTAACAGGTATTTAATTCCCTGTAATAGCCAAAAACAGTCATTAAAATTGTAATACTGCATTATCAGTATATTGTGATATACTGATATTATTTTATAATATTTTACACTTACATGTATCTCCAGCCCCATCACCTATTAGTGTCACGAGGACCTACACTCAAAGGCTGATCATCCACAAGTTGCTGCATCAGCTATCCCATCTCACCAGTGATCAATGACCTAAATGACCATTAAACCTTTTCAGCCCAGTCTTCAGAGTAAAGTGTTGGCATTGTGTATTTCTGCAAACCATGGATATGTTGCATTTGTACATTTCATACCTATCATATCAACATTTCTATAGTGACGTAGTAATGAGATGATGGGAGATGGAGGGGATGGTGGTTGGTGTGGAATCCTAGGAAAGAGACCTGCCAAGCTGCAGACCACTGTTCAACACAAGCTCAACAAACAACAAAACCATTTTTAGCAAGAAATTGCTGCATCTTCCAGCGGCTTGTTAGCAACCAAAACCAAGTTCAAGCCAAAACAAAATGATCTTGTCCTGACCGTAGATAGTGTTTTTTGTGTCTAAACCTAACCACGCATCAAACACAGCATAACTGCGTTGTCTCTTACATAATGAAATACAAATGTAACGTATCTAAGGTTTTCAGAAACGTACAATGCACGTACATTTATTCTGGCAAGTGGGTTGACCTTTCTTAGGATGAGATGGATCGAAGAGCCCTAAAACTGTAATCGTAGTATCAGTGGCACAGGAGGGGCTTTGCTCAAGCTCTGACCTACATCACAGTAAGTGGAAACTGATACGCCTCTCAGGATTAAGAATTCAACCCAACCCCTCATCCTTACAACACAGCCCTGTTATGCGGATTAACCCAGGGCTATCTTTGGAATTCTTGAAACATACTAACCACTCACTTGTTTCACCAACTTGTAACTGTAGGATTGTGGCTGTAGTTCGACATGAAAAGCATGGCAACATAATCTAATGGAGGAGAATGAAGCAGTGTCATGGAGCTGAGCAGATACAGTAGAATTTACAGGGGCGGGGGGGGGGGATCATCCCATTTGCCTGATCACAACTTAATGGCCAGTGTTGGCTTAACTTGACGGTCCTGGTGCCAATAATTGTTCCTCATCTGGTGTAATTGCAGGCACAGTGAGATTCAGAGTGGATTTCCTGGTGTCTCTCAAAATTTAGGGGGCGTTTTGCCACTCCAAAAACCCATCACATTGGATTACACGGTTTGAGATTCTACTGGAGCAAAAAAAAGTGTGCTGCATTTTTCAGTTTGAGTGCAGTATTAACTGCCATCCGCTTTTCTGGAGGATCCGACCTCATCATCCCAACCCATCAGTCCAAAGAGCCTCAAGATCCTGAGAGGAAAATCTCCTCGAAAAGACTTTCTTTGCAAGTTGGGTGTTAGACAGTTCATGGCACAGTGTCTCTGCTGATATGATGGATGTTTGTCCCCAAGCATAGTTTCATTCTGCAGTCTGTAAAACCTGCAGTGACATTTTCACTTTTTGAGCATTTTCTTCTTAGTTGATTTGTGTCTGAATTAATGGTTCACTAAAAGGCGCTGGTTTTTCCAGCCATTGTGTAAGAAGTGAGTGTCACCCTGCCTTGAAGAATTCCATTTTCAGCGGACAGCTTTTCAGTGGCTCTCAGCAGAGTGTTTAAGTATCTCACAATGCTCCAAAAGCCATTTCAGAGCCGCTAAAATTAAAGAAAGAATTGTATCACTTTTGACCTTCAAAAAGCTGCACCAGTGTCAAACCTTCAGGAGCTGCATATGAGCTGAAGCTTTAGCAGATTCAAAAGAACAAGACAAAAAATAAACTCTGGATACAGAGAAAACTACCCCTCCTCGTCTTCGTAGCCATGAAGGTGAAATAGCATTTTCTTTCTCAACTGAAATGATGAGCAAAAGATTGCTCCGCCAAATGTAATGAGGCATCACACTTTCACCTCCACAGAAGCTAAACCTAATGGAAGTCATTGGCTAAACGCATTCCAGGGTAAATGAGATGACTTCTTGGTTACTGGGGCTGTTGTTTGACAAATAATTGATAGGAAAGGTGGTTAAAGGCATTCACCCCCCCCCCCCCGAGGGCAGAATAATTGCAAAAGAATCCAATAAGGGAGGGAGGCAAGGAGAGTTTCTATCATAGGGGCGTGCACGCTCAAGGTCTGTATTCAAATCACAATCTGTACACAGAGCTGGGAGATCAAGATACACCAGAACATGCAAAAAAAAAAAAAAAAAAAAAAAAAAACCTTCACCCTGTCAAAACTTAACACCAGGGGCACAATAGGTATGAATTTACTACAGTGTATGATGCATTCATTTCCACTAAGTTATTGTCTTTATGAGTATCTGCTGCCATCTCCATTAAATCACTCAGCAAGAGAACCTGGGAGACAAGGATCCGCCACCAGGGACCGAGTCAATCTGAATACACAGCTGCTCTGTGCTTTCGCCAATGAATGGAGAATTCACAATCAACTGTGCACTGATGCCTCCTAATTTCCTCTGACTAAGTGAAGACCTGCACATTTCACACGAGCCAGGAAGGATAGGAGAAAAAGTGATTAACAAATAAAGGCAGAGCGTAATGTTTGTATTTCATGGCTTAGTAGGAACACTAGTGAAAATTAAAAGAGGAAGCAAAGTGGGGGTAATTGTTCGATATTGATTGCGTCATAACTCTGCATTATCTTAGAGTGATGCTTCCCATGGCAGATTATGGATTAAGGTTTAAAATAGAAAAGGCAGTCCATGTAATTGCCCCTCAACAAACCTGATCTGAACAGCTGTTACATTAACATTCACGAAAGTATTGCTTGGATGCTTATTCTCTCTCGAGATCTTCCATTTCATTCAAAGCACAGCCTTGTAGGCTAAAAAAGTAGCCACTTCACACATGTGCCTGACGCATGTGTGAAGAAGACAGCATGATTAGAACAGTGGTCACATTTGAATGCTGGAGGACGGCATATAGCAATGAATAGACGAGGGAGAATAAATACTGTATGTCAGCTTGTGTCAGTCAAGTGAGAAGCAGGGACACTATTATTGCGCTCCACACTCCATATCAGACTTTTCACACAAAATTTAAAAACTCTTATTTCACATTCACCTCTAACCTCTCTTGACTTTTCTTTTTGTATTTACATAATAAATATCTGTTTACCCCAGTAGAACTTTACATCTGGGCAGGACGCTGTGCAGCCGTTATACAGCTGTGCATCTTCATGCGAAAAATCACTGAATCCCTGGAAGACAGCAGGACGCCCCCAGTGACTCCCTCCTATGTTAAACACGGCTGCATCCCTCAGCTGCTGCCTAACGCAGGGGCAGGAGAGTAAGTGCACTTAAAAGAGAAGGGAGCAGCGATCCATTTCTCAGCCCCATCATCAGCCAGGCACATCCCCCAGATCCTCATCCTAGATACAGCCACAAACACATGACTAGGAGGTCAAGGATGAGGAGCAGGAGCTGCTCGGCCAGGCTCTTTAAATATATTTTTTTATGCCGTTCAATCCATTTCACAGCCTTTCTGGAAAAAAAAGCAGCTTGGCTGTACATTGTAATTGCCACTCTTGCTCAATCAAAAGGGGTTTTCAAAGCAAATGGTGCTACAAACTCATCTCTGCACTGCCACGCTGCGTTATAGAATCATTCACTGCATGGCTTCAAAGACATGTTTCACCTCTCATTTGGCTACTGCTCAAAATATGTGTGAAGGATCTATAAATAAACATGAATAGAAGGGAGAATGATTACAATCCCTGCTGAATAGTAGAATACTTTGAAGATGGCTGAGCATTTTTCTCACTGTTGGGTCTGTCCTTTTGCAGGCTGGGTGGGAAGAAAAAGAATACTTGTGTGCAGACCACTGGTGGCCAAATATTTGCTTTAACAGAAAAAAAAAGATATTGAAGCTGTTGCAATATTTTTTCTAACAACACTCTCTTGTGAGATTTTTTTTTAAACGCTATACAAATATCAGAATATTATGATGTCACGTGAGATATAAAACCACAATTTAAAAAGAAACCCAGGAGCTCTTTTCCTCTGCAGAGACTGAAATAATTGCCTTAACCAAGTTAGAGAGAGCTTTTCTCCAGGCGGACAGTCCTGATGCTGTTTCTCTGTGTGACTGAGCAGAGCAGCACCATATGGACTTTGTCCTAGATGAGGGAAATGAGCCCCAACAGTAGAAATCCCAGTAGGACCATGCAAACCATTTGAGACTCATCTAGAAACGCAATCATCAGCATCATGCATGTGTGACCACGATCGGTGTGCACGCTGCCTCACTGCCCTTTCCTCCGATGGTAGAACATTAGATGAAGAGATCTCGCCACAGGGCTTTTGGGGTTATTTCATTTCGCTCTGATGCAAATTAACTTGAATGTTCTACTATCTTTCTAACTTATCAGCACACGGCTTTTGATGTATTAAAATGAAAATGAAAAGGCATGGAAATAACGTGCAAACATGCCAGTGATGATTTCTGACCAGATACTTACTTCTTCTAGGACGCAATTTTTTTCCTCTTCATTAAACTGCTTTGATTGTAATTCCAGTGTCCGTTAGATGTGTTGTTTGCGGCTGTAGTGAGCGGATAACATGTCTCACAGCAACTCTTGTCCTCTCACAAGCCAAAGAAGAGGGTTGCTCTCTGCTCTGCTCCAGCAGCGCTCTGCACTTAATTCTGCTCCGTCTATAAGTGCGTCTCTCTCTCGGTCCTTAAAGATGGGACTTAACAGCAGCCTCTGCCTCGGTTAAATTCCACAATCAGTGAGTTTTTTTTGCCGGCTGAGGCTGCACCGGGATGCTCCCCGACCTCCTCGTATTACACTCCACAAGATGTTGCCAAGAAGCAGAGAGGACAGCGGTGCCTCTGAGCGGAGACTCACATTGTGCGCATCCCCGGGCTCTGCTCTCTTTGTACGCAGGAAGAAGCGCCCACTGGTGACGCGTGAAAACACCCATCGCAGCACAGTAATGCGCCACCAGCCTATGGGCACCTGCCATTCCTCTGCTGAAGTGAGTGCACATTTGATCCCGGGATATAAAATCGTCGCGAAGAGAATAAATCAAGAGGAAATGTACAGGAAGGTATATTTGGAATCATTAGGTTAAAATGGAAGAAACGCGTGTGGAGAACATTCTGAAAATAACCAAAACAGATCCTTTGTCACTATAACCAAACTGCCTAATGTCTCATGTTAGTAAACGTTATATAGTCTTTTGTGGTAAATTAATGCAGAGATTGTAGTGAATTGCAGCTCCTGCTGATTAATTAAAGAAGGGGCAGAGGATGGAGGAAAAAAAAGTGATGTGCCTTGGTGAAATTGACCAACAAAAGGTTTTCATACATCACATAAAAACACCAGGAGTCATCGCTATTAGATGTGGAAGCAGCCCACATATTGTGCTCTTCAGCCCGAGCCTTTGTAGAGTGTGAGAGGGTTTCATACTGAAGCACTGCCGCACTTTAAAGTACAGAAGCTACAACGATGTGCGGTAGAGGACCACACAGACACAGGGGACTTTGGCCTACACATAGGGTGTCATTTTGAACTGATGTCATGTTGCAGCTATAGTAAAACATATAGTTTTTCACAGATCTTTGTAGACTCATGAGTGGAGTGCCTTGATTGCATTAAGTTATATGCTTAGAATGGAAAAACAAAACATGAGATAAAAATATGGGATTCTTGTTACTACAACATCTGGGCTACTACAATCTTGTGCCCTCAAAACTGTAATGAGGTCCTCTTTGTTTAAAGCTGAGCTTATCAATATTGTCATATCAACAGTGGATCACATTAGTATGTGTAATGTGAAAGTCGCTTGTGAGGAGCCTAAAGAGAATTGTTACCTGTGCGTAGGTCCTGTTTAACTGATCTGTGGTCTTAAGTGCATAGCACAAGTGCAGTTAGGGCGTGTCCAACACTTTTGTTAGTTAAACAGAGCATCATCTGGCTGCAAGGTAAGGCGCAAGGGGGCAAAGGGGTTGTAATTAGTCACTTAATCACTAGTGTGCTTTGGGCACAAAGTGAATTTATCAATCAGTGTCATCTCCCAGGTGCATCAAGTGCTATTTACATGACGGATTCAGCAAACTGGTGAAGTGTGTGGGTTTTTGAAAGTAATGCAGTAAGAGTGATAATGTCACTGCAGCAAATATCATCGGACATTTAAGCATCAAACCTAAACTGTGGTTATAAACTCAACAGAGGAAACAGAACTAAACTTTTAGCTTCTGAAATAATCAGTGTTGGGTAAGGATTACTTTAAAAGTAATCAAAGTACGTTACTGCGTTACTTTTTTAAAAAGTAACCAGTTACTTTACTCCCTGAGTAAAGTAATTCAATTACTTTAAAAGTACTTCCAACATTACTCCCTGAGAAAAGTAACTCAAGCACTTTTAAAGTACTTTTTAGTATTCTACATTTCCTATTGGGCAATGGACCACAGGGCGCTAAGCCTACATTTTTTTGTCTCCAAAATTAAAGTTATGGACCACTTGCCCTTCACTGAGATCCAATTCTACCATCACAGCCGTTACTTTGACCAGTAGAAACACAGAATGATCTGCTGCCGTAGACAACTGTATGACAACAACACCCCAGCGTTTTTAATATTTCCTCTAAGGATGTTACAACACAAAGTAAAAGGGGGAAATGATGGTGTGGAACAGCAGAGGCACTTTGTCAACCTGCTGAGTTAACATTACTGTCATTAGCATCAAGCTAGCAAACAATGGTACATCCTCACGGTCGGACATAAAGTAATAACATTAACAAATAGCAGCGGGGCTTTTACTCACCACAACTGCAGAGGCTCCCAGCTTCATTTGAAACAGACTACATTATAGACGGTCCGTTATTTATTAATCCCTCTGTGTGTTTATATATTTACTTTTAATTGGCTCCGTTGTCTTTGTAAAGTTAACATATCCCACCGTCATTTCAAACTCAACACTTGTTTCAAATTAAAAGCCCCTTATAACTTCGGCTAGAGAATCCCTCCATTTTCTAAATAGGCTTTTATTCTGAAACATTTGTCAGAACTTCCTGTGGAAGATACAGTAACTTGACAGTTTACTTATGGCGCTTCAAATGTAGCTCCTGCCATCTGCTGACGCTTTTAGGTGACTACAACAACATGTCGGCTGGCACATGAACAGACACAGTGACTCAAATAATAGTGAAAGTAATAAAAATAGGACAAGAATAACCTGATGACATCACACACGCAGTGAAAGACGACCGGGGATAATTGGTGAGTACCAGCGTGTAGTGTGTACCAGGCATAATGCAAGTCCTGAGTCTGAAATATGTCTGTCAGCAAGTCCTACTCCACCTATTTAGACTACACCATAGACAACGGCAGCATTTCTCCGACCACGTAGCGAGCCACAAGCTCCGTGGCTTCTTTCAGACTGACAGGTTTAACATAATCTCCGTTATTAGAACCAAATGACAGCCGTTGCTGTTTCGGAGCTGAAGGACCAGCGTTCTAAAAGTAATGGAACTAACTGATGTCTTGTTTGAAAATGTACTTAAGTATTTGATTACTCAAACAGCAAACTAAAGCATTAGGTTACTCGTTACTGCAAAAAGTAATCAAAGTACTATACCCAACTCTGGAAATAATAATGTTACACTGCTCCTTGTGCATAAACGCACACAGTGGCTCTCTCTTTGTAGGGAGCAGCAGCAGACATCAGCTCTGCTCTGCTCTCTGCTACGTTCACATTTTTGAGAATGTCATTAGAATTTTCCTGTATTTTTGGCTATTTAAAAAGCAGGTGAATACTCCGCCATTCTGACTTTAGACCTGGTTTTTGTCGGTCAATGGCGTGATAGCTTCCTAAGTCCTTAAAAATAGCAATGCGCCAACAAGGTGCCTGACAACACTTCACTTTAAGACTTCACACCCATAGGTGCACAGATGGGTAGAAGTACATTTGCATCATCGCCTAACAGCAAAAGGGTTCCTGTTTCGAACCCCGGGGTAGGGGAGCAAGAGTTTGCATGTTCTCCACATGTTAGTGTGAGTTTTCTCCAGGCACTCTGGCTTCCTCACACAGTCTAAAGACATGCAGGCTAGGTTAATTGGTGATTCTAAACTGGGGTGTGTGAATATGAGCATGAATGGTTGTCTGTCTGTGTGTGTCAACCCTAGTCTGGCCACCTGTCCAGGGTGTACCCCGCCTGTCGCCCGATGTCAGCCGCAACCACTAACAGGATAAGCGGTTACGGAAAATGAATGAATGAATGAATGAATGAATGAATGAATGTACAACGTGGGTGCTGGTCTAGAAAATGACAACTGTGTCGATCTTAAACTCAAAATGACAGTTGCGTTGTGCTATGCAACGCTTTGCGCCAGGTGTGAGATAGAGCCCTGCAGTTTTCATCAGCTCCCATACATGTTTAAGCCTTTTTAGACTCTTTGTTTAGGTTTTTCTGTGCCCTTTGGCTCACTCTGCAACAGGGACGGAATAATGTGGAGAATTAAAAGTCTGTTTTTTATCTGCAATTTTTTGTTGTTAGTATTATCAGTAAACTTTTACTATTGGATGAACAAATTGTTTGACTGACTGATTTCTTGTATCTAAAACAATGTCAGAGGCAACAACCCTGATTCCTCTGCAGTCCCATTTGTTCTCACCAGTCTGATTAGTGTTGTTTCCAGCAGCAGAAACAATACTCTCAAGAAAACACATCCATGTTGTGTTTACAGCTTGTTGTACTGCTCCAAGTGGCCAGAAATATTATTGTGCTTTAGGTATACCTAGAAATGCATCTCATGGTGAACATACTTGCCAATAATCTCCATGAACAGTAAGGCCTGAAGAATCATGACTGGCAGTAGGCTCCTTATTTCATCCACCATAAGATGTCATGTGTATCCTTGATATATGACTGAGAGGAAGTGAACCAGACTTTTCAGCAGAAGTATAGATACTGAAAGACACCAGATACTGATAAACAATATCATTTATCATTATACTGAATAATTAATTGAGCCCATTCTTTTCAGGGTCAGTTGACAAAATTGACCAAGATTTCTCTACTAATGGAGATATCTTGCATCCTGTCACAGGAGAGAAGCACACGCAAATGAAATGCCTTTGATTTCTAATACGTGAAGAAAATTCAGTGGTAATGCAACATCACAGCCTTTATTCAAACTGATCCAGTCCAGTCTAGATCCAAGCAGCCCAAACAAAAGTGGAATCAAATGTGTGAAGATCATTGTCATTAAATTTCAATATACAGAGACACCACTTTTGGCACTTTTAGCCATTTTATCCACAACAATCTGCTGGATGGCACTACAGTTTGTAATTCTTATGCTGTCAGCCACTGTGAAAGAGTCTGTGTCACTTTTTTTTTTTTTTTTTTTTTTTTTAGTAAAAGTGGATATCTCTTTTTCGAAACTCTTCATAAGCTGTGCCAGCGATTCTCTTTCAAGTTAAGGGAAGCCTTGAAAGACGCACTGTCTTCAAAAAAAGAAAAAGTAGTCAAAGAAGAGGGAGAGCGGCAGACATTCAGCCTCATGTTTCACCAACTGTCACTCATCACACTAAATAAATCTCCCTATCACCGCATAGATAATTGCTGTTAGTTTTATCTGGTGCAATCCATTTGATTGACTTAAATAATAAAATGATGGAGATATGAATATTTAATGTTTCTGGGCACAGGAGAACTCCAGGGGGTTTTCAGAGAGACTGATGGAAAATACAAAGGAGGTAAAAAGCCATTAATTAAGGTCATTTGGTATCTTATTGGCGGAGGAGAGGTGTGTAGGAGTGGGGGTTTGTGTTTGGCAAAATGACAGTTCAAGGTCAGCAGAGATATGAGGATGCCACATACACTGCCA